ACACCACTGCCGCCGCCGCCCACCGCCCCGTCGTGTGTGTCTACACTGCCCGCTCCGCCCACCGCCCCGACATGTGTCCCTACACTGCCCGCTCCGCCCACCGCCCCGACGTGTGTCTACACTGCCCGCTCCGCCCACCGCCCCGACGTGTGCCCTTGAGTTCCGTTTCTGATTTACCTAGTCTTTCGGCCTGTTCTTTCTTCACTTTTCCTACAGCTTCTAAACTGGTTTGCCAATAGACATAAATATTTTTCAAGTGCCGTAAAGAGTTGAGGGAGTCGTTGTGAAGTGCAGAGAAATGATGAAGCCACAGCTCACATCAGATACACAAAAGTGGGGACTGTCCACTTGTCCACGTTTGGTAGGCGCGGCCAGGAGACCATCAGCCCTCGCCGTCAGAGCCGCCGAGACAAAAGAGATCTGGCTGAATTCTTTACATTGTAAATCAGTGACACAGGAGGATAGCGCTCACACTCACATGTACATAGTGCTCTTGTTGTCTGGAATACTCCTCGGCTGTGATGGACCCGTGCCGGCGTCAGTGAGGGCGAGTGGTCTGGGTCATTGGTGAGGAAGGCCTTGTTTATCAAGTCAGCACACAGCTCTGTGCCCCTGTTAGTTCGTTTACCTGCTTGGATCTTACTTCGATCCTAAATGCTGAGAAAGTTTTAATTGGTAAGAATGTGCCTTTTTTTCCTTGTTAAGGTTCAACCCAAGATTAGTGAATTAGAAGGAAAAAATCCTAAATGAGTTTATTTTCTTCTGAGCACCTTCCTGATAATTTCTTGGAACAATTTTAATGAGAAAGATTAGAATAGATCTGTTTTTCTGTACTTGACTGTTTCTAGCAGCTGTGTACTTATTTCAACCAAATTATTCATTTCTTATTGCCAAAATGATTTTGCCTTATTTTGTGTATATAATTACATGTAATTTTTTTATTTCTCTCTGAATGAAGGCTGTAGAATGAGTCAGAAACTTTGAACAACCCAATGATGTCTTCCAAAAATAAAATGCTACATTTTACATTATTTTTCTTAATTCCTTTTTTATTTATTTCTTCTGTGAGAGAGAGAGAAGGAAACAGGCACCGCCATCGGAGCCTTCATGCTGTGGTCCACCCCAGCCCCAGCCAGGAGTACCCGTGGGCCCTGGACGTGGCCTCTGGACCCTCCCACGTGGGTCCACACCTGGAGCACACTGTTCCCGCACTCCACTGGCTGTCTGACTCCCGCGTTTCAGATCACGCTGGTGTCTGCACTGCAGTTCACGGGCCTGTGAATTTGCAGAGAGAACATTTCTTAGGACATAAAGACTTAGCGGTTTAAAGATGTTGTTTTTGCCAGATGCTGTTGTTTTTAGCTTGTCAGTGAGAGTGCTGTGTTCTGTGATCATGAATAATCCGTGAAAAATGCTATCTTCAGATAACTTAGTTGGTAGCTCTTATTAACCAGATGTTGCCTTCTTCCTGCAGGTCAAAGACTCTAGGCTGCCTGCATATAAGGATTTCTGTAAAAATCTGCCCTTCCCTACGTACTTTCCCGACGGGGATGGAGAGGAGCTCCCAGAAGATCTGTATGATGAGGACGTGTGGCAGCCCGGCACCCCGTCCATCTCGTTTTCCTGACGTCACGGCCATGGCAGGCAGAGTTGGGCGGGAGCCGCGAGGAGCCAGAACAGCGTGCAGCCCAGGGTGCAGCCCCTCTGCTGCTAGCAACACCACGCCCTGTGTGTTTGTCCAGAGCATGAGGAAGTGGCTCACCCCCACTGAGTTCTGTTAGAGAAATTACCACATTAAACAGACCAGCTTAGGCTGGATCTGTTAAAACTAGCAATTTGCTATTAGCAAAATATTTGTAATTTATGGACTATGTTTTTACTATACATTTCTCGAGTTAGGTTAAGGTGTTTCTAGGTTAACTTTCATTGGAGATGTGTGAGTGTGGAAGGGGCGATTGTGGAATAGAAACCCATGCGGTAGCTGCACTGCAGACCGCTCGCTGGAGTCAGACCACTCCTTCACGTCCACTTTTCTCATTCTTACACACTCGAGAGCCTTCAAGGGAGAAAGTATGGTTCGTATTTAAATTACAGAAACACAAGTGATAGTTACAGGCCTAACAGAGGGAAGACAGACCATAAATGATGCGTCCTTCTCACACTGTGTGAGGGATAGTGATTTTCCGGTTTATCCCTCAGTGAGAAGATGGGCGTGGGGCCAGCGGGTGGTGTGGTGGGTGAGGCACTGGACACTCCCACGTGACACGGCCGACCGCGGTGCAGTCTGGACCTGGCAGCTTGGCACTCGAGCCAAGTGCCTGTGTCCCCAGGGGGCCAGGAGGAGGGCGAAGTGGAAGGGGTTGCAGTGTGGGCGTCCCTTTCCCTCCCGCTGTCTCTCTCTCTCTCTCTCTCTCTCTCTCTCTCTGACAAGCATATGCACCCTAAGGCAAACACGTCTTTAAAAAAGAAAGGCCAGAGACTGTCCATTCAGCAGAACATTAGCCACACGCTATTCGGCATGCTAGCGGCTCCTAGGTCTCTGTGAGTTTAAGATGTAGTGTTAATGGCCCTAGGACAAATGGTTGAGCTTAAATGTAAGTGCAAGCAGGCCTCACCTCACCACCAGAGCGCTGCCCCCTCCTTGACTTTTTATGACCCCGAGGCTGGCTTTTTAGCCATAACGTCAGTGTCTCCAAGGAGTCCCTTGTCACTGACAGATTTGGGGTAACAGGGCCGACAGAGGACCGTGGGTGGCATATTGGTTACGTCGCTAGACTCCCCGTGGCCAGCCGCGGTTTGAGTCCCAGACTAAGCAGCTTGAGACTTACGCCAGGCACGTGCACACGTGTGTGTGTGTGTGTGTGTGTGTGTGTGTATGCACCCAAAATCCTGAGAGAAGAATGGAGGAGACGGGATTGCAGCATGACCATTCTCCTTGGGGAGGTGATTCTCGCGTTCTGCCTGTGTCTCTCTGTCTCCCTCTGGTGAGCACAGACACCCTATAACAAAAATCTTTCTTAAACAAAAAAGACATGACCAGCAGGTGGCATGGAGGTTAAGGTGCTGGACACTCCCACATGGTCGATCGCGGTTCGAGTCCCAGACCTGGTGGCTTGCTTTCTCACTTTCCCTCTCTCTCTGGTCAAGTTAAAATAAAAATGAATGAATAATAATTAAAAAAAAAAAAAGCAGCTTTGGCCACGTTCATGTGTCTTATTCATTTAAAATTCACAGGGAGCCACATCTTATTTAAAGTTTTCACTTCATCTTCTTTCGTTAAAGATTTATGGTTAATTGACAGGAAACACACAAGCAGAGGAGAAAACACCTTGTGATACAAATTAGAGCAGGTGGGCCGTGGGGCCGCGGTGTGCGCTGTGTCAGGTGGGCCGTGGGGGCCGTGGTGTGCGCTGTGTCAGGTGGGCCGTGGGGGACGCCATGTGCGCTGTGTCAGGTGGGCCGTGGGGGCCGCGGTGTGCGCTGTGTCACAGGTGGGCCGTGGGGGACGCGGTGTGCACTGTGTCACAGGTGGGCCGTGGGGGCCGCGGTGTGCACTGTGTCAGGTGGGCCGTGGGGG